CCCCCCCCCCCCCCCCCAGCCCCATCTCCACTTATAGGAATGGACCTGGCTCGACCAAGCTGACTTAAGCTGTTAATCGATTACTAAAGCATTGATTTGTTTCATGTGATAATTTGGTTTCTATACAAAGTTACCATTCAGTTGAAATGTTGTTCCGTTTTGTTACATTATATATGCCTGGTAAAATAATTTTCAACGTTGGTTTTTGACATCTCATTCCTCTGCATACAAATTAATTAATAAACTCATCTTGCCGCAAAAACGTAATTCCAGCAGCAGGTTGCCAGTTTCACTACTGCTCCACAAAAAGACGACACCAGAATTATTGTAGCAAATCTATTCCATAAACTTTGAGCTGGCTTTTGATCCAACAATTCAGTAAACTTACTCAGGAAATAGATGCATCTCCTCGATTTCTCCAAGAAAACCAAACAAAGTTTTCATCTGATCAGTTGTAGCATTTTGCGCGATGTTTGTCACTTGAATCACGTGTGTACTGGGTCTTTCGTCCCCTGTAGTCATCTTGAGCTTGTTACTGGGGAAAAAGACGAGGTAATTTCCAATGTGAGCCCATGAAAAGGAACGTGTGCTTTTCACACGCTGAAGGCTTGGTTACATGTACCAGCAAGACCCGGCTACCAAGTCAATAGAGATTTGTTACGCATTTCTTATTGGGTAACTACCGCTGACTAACATCATCCTTGCCCCTCCACTAGTTCTTCAGGTGAAAAGATGACGAAGGATTATGTAAGAATTGAGTGAGAATTACAGCAATGTTTGCTAAAGTAACGTTTACTCATAATGCTATCTATTCTGAGAAGTGCACAGTTATGGACCCGCTTGAAGGTTGTGCCGAAATCCTCGATTTTATTTTCTCTGAGGGTTGCTCCAAAGATTCTTAGTTTCCACACACGTGCAGGTTTGTTTTTAAAATAGCAAATCATAAGCTTAAATAACAACAGCGACTTCTTGTTGTTAAATAGTGTAATATATTTTGTTGCAATGAAATGTCTCGCAAACTAGCCTAAAAGCCTATCTGCATTTGGAGCAGACTGCAGATTTAGATAAATAAACAAAATAAGTAATTAATTAATTGGTGATTAATTAAACTTAATTAGTAAAACTCAAATGATAAAAAAACTACAGTAACCTACTTTTAGACATGTTACCTTGTAAGCATAATGATACAAAACATATTTTGCCTGAGAAATCATTTTTATGATAATAACATTGTCCTTGTTTAAATTTTGTATTTATGCAATGTAACTTCACCAAAGAGGCTAATATACTGATAACCTTCAATCTAGAGAAAAGGTTATAATATGTGAACCCAAAATGGTCATATGGGAGGCAGTTATTAAGCTTTTTATGCTTACATGTATTATTTTTGGTTATTATTTCTTTATGCTTTTAGACCAAGTAAAGAAAAATAAAATGTTGATCGTCCCATTATTTTCATTAAACATACTATGGTAGCTGGCTGTCACTAGCTTATGAAACTTTTCTTTTATTACAAAACCTTGACAGGGCCTCTCTTTAGTGGAGAATATGAGATGCAAGATCCAAAGTCACCAGATGAAGTGTGAGTTCAATGTGTTAAACCTACTTCTTTGTCTTAATGGCCATCCTGATAAAATCAGAACTGACAAATAATTTATGTTCCTAAAGTAATCACTCCTGTCAGCTCCAAACCCCTGTGGAGACTCCCATATGAAAGGGGCGGGGATGCTCTTCATCTCACTGAGGGGTGTAAATTTCAGATTTTGGTCTCACTTAGGGTTTTCTGGACAAAAGACCATTATATTTAGCGGTAAAGATCTCTTTTAGGGTTGCACGTGAAGAAATATCCAAAAATTATGTATTTTCAATTTATTTTTTTACTCAATTCATGTAATCAAAGTTTAAAATGGTCTCTTTTAGGGGTCAAAAAAGTTGGGCCATACCCAAATTGGTCTCCTTTAGGGGTTTTATTCAAGATTTCTGACGAGCATCCCCACCACTTTCATATAGGAGTCCCCCCGGACTCCATACAAGTTGTTTGTATAGAGCTGACAAAGCCGTGTTCTAACAAGTGTTCTAGGATGTGGTCTAGAGGGCCCAAAAGCTCACCTGCTGTAAACTGCGGCTTATAAGTCTCCCCCACCCCTCTCGGTCATAGTCCCCCCGTTATAGGCCCATCTAACTGCAAACAAAAACACAAAAACTTCTTCTGATTATGAGCTCATCCGGATATAAGCCCCCCTGTACAGTCGACTCTCTCTTAACGAACACCTTTATAAGACGGACACCTCTGTAAAACGGACACTTAGAGTTAGTCCGTGCCTTTCTTTACTCCTTTTATTTGACTCTCTATAAGACGGACACCTCTTGCAGACAGACACTTAGTGCCGGTCCAAAAGGTGTCCGTCTTAGAGAGAGTTGACTGTAATTCTGTTCAAAATATATTGAAATGAATTTTATTTGTTATGACACTTTGAAGTTTAATTAAAAGCCAGTAAATGCAAAATGTGTTGTGATCAGCAATGCTTTAGCTTTTTTTAGATGTTTTTTCTATTCCGCTTATAAGCCCACTTGCATATAAGCCCTCCTCTCATTTATAAGCCCCCCTAAAACCCGTTACAAAGATGTTATAAGCCCAGGGCTAGCCTGCAAACGGCAGACATTTCTCCTCGCTCGTCGCCCCTGAGGGACGTTTCGCGAGGAGGAACGTCTGCAACTCAGCGACAGAAATTCCATACTGATGACGCAAAATCTGTCCTGAATCCGGTCAGAAGCGCCAATTGGTCAACGGAGTAGTTTTATTGTTCTAGCTACTGTTTACTAATGACAGACAAAAGAAAAAAGGCGGCAAAGGTCAATTGTAAACGTGATGAATCTCTAATAAACCAGTCAATATTTGTGGAATATAGTCTTCTCTAGAAGTAGCATTTGAGTTTTGCTGGAGCTCATTCGCAGATGAACACAACACTTTTCCAAAATCGACCAGGAGAAACGTAAAATTGAACAAATTTGCATTTGGAACCCCATGACTACCGGATTTATTATGTAAACATTGATTTACATCATCAGTATGGAATTTCTGTCGCTGAGTCGCAGACGTTCCTCCTCGCAAAACATCCCTCAGCGGCAATGAGCGAGGAGAAACGTCTGCTGTGCTCAGGCTAGCGCAGGGCTTATAAGTGCCAGCTTATGGTATGAATTTAGGTTGCACAGCCCATACTGTAGGTATGATATGGAGATTTACCAGTCTCTTAAAGTGGCAAGAGGGAATTGCCATGGCTCTCCAGGTGTTGCTAGAAGCCCTGCTAAAACATTATTTTTTGTCACAGAGTGAATGTTACCGTCATTGATCGAGATGGAAATCCCAAAGTATTTAAAGGGAAAGTAGGAGATAACTTATTATACCTGGCTCATCGCTATGGCATTGACATGGAAGGTGAGTTGGACCTGCATTATAGTTGTGGACCTTTGTTTTATAAGCAGGCATCTTTGGGGACCATTGCTAGTTGCTAGAAAAAACACAATTTCCTTACTTTTAATTTAAGAAAATTTTCACTTCATTTTCAGGGTCTCAAATTATTTATTTCTCCTTGCCCAAAAATTGCCTCTAGTATAGCTGTGTTTAATTCTAGACTCAAGTCATTTATGTTGGTATAAGCAGATTTTACTTATTTTGGTGCTGGCTTACATGACAGACAACCAAAAACATTGTGACTTAACTGACCAATTAGGTCAATAACCAGAGTTTAATACCATCAACTGACATGATACAACTCACTTTGACTCTGAAGATGACTACTACACAGGTTGTCAAAACATCAGTCACTGTCAACAACAACAGTCCTATTGAGGACTACGTTCACCTGGATAATCATACTCAACGTACTTATGAAATAACTCCTGGGTTCAAACCTTTCGCATTTTCACAATGATTATTTTGTTCAGTATATGTTGTATAGCCTACAATTGTAGGTACTTGTCTTGTTGATGTCAGTATTTTGTTTCATAATTTTGTCCCATGTATTTTTAAAGTTAATAATATTTTTTTAAAGTTAATAATGCCAGAGTTAATTGGGACATGAGTAATTAAAATATTAATGTCAAGTCTTTTTTGTTTGTTTTTTTTTTGGTTCACGTAACAAGGTGCATGTGAAGCCTCTTTAGCATGTTCAACATGTCATGTTTATGTGAAGGAAGAATACTTTGATCAATTACCAGAACCAGATGAAAAGTAAGTACTTTATGACTTCACTCTCAACTTTTTCTTTCAGCATCAGGCACACAGCTAAACAACTTGTTTCTTAGGAAAATCAGAGTCTCTGGAGAAAAACCTCTCAGATTAAGAAAGATGTACTAGCAGTAAACTTAGACTATCCACATGAGCTGGGATTAATTCTAGTGTACAAACCCAGACCACATCGGTGTAAGATGACTTCTTCACCAGTTTACCATCATTGCTATCTATCATAAATTTTTCATGTTTAGTATCCTATTTCAAATGTGCTCCTGAATTGGCAAAATTTTTCCAACATTGTGAGAAGTAAAGTGCAAGGCAAGGTTTGTATGTGTAATCAAATGGTGACGAGTGAAATTAGGGAATAATTTCACGTGCGTTTTGTCCAAATCCTTACAAATTATTAGGATTTGGACAAAACGCAAGTGAAATTATTCCCTAATTTCACGAGTATACCATTTGATTACCTATTAATATCATAGGTGACGAATTACCTTAGCAATCTTGGATTTTTGACATGTTTATCCTGGATTGTATCGATCGAGAACTCCACTGTCTCAAACGTTTAGAGCTGAAATTTGGCATAAGTTCAGAATTTTTCGACAAAATATCCGTTAGAATCCTTCTTGATGTGCTCTTTCGTGTGTTCAGGTGTTCTAAAGCATCTTTTTATGCCCTTACATCTTCATTCACGGCATTTTAAAACTTCGTCACCATCTTGACACTGAGACGTACGGAAGGGTTGCCATGGCAATTTTGTAATTTCACATGTGAAATTACAAATTATCCCTGAAATTTCGCGCCAAAATTATGGAGTAATTTGTCACCTATGATATTATGAGAGAAATTCACCCAGTCACTTTTTCAAGGAGTCCCAAGTTCCTAAGCTGTGATGCTAGCTGTAGCATATTCTCTTTTTTCATATTTCTTTTAGAGAGGATGATATGCTGGATATGGCACCATTTCTTCAAGAAAATTCAAGATTAGGTACAAAAATTATTTTTGACTTCTTTCCGCTCTGATTTGTAGCAATCATTGGATGATAATAATATTGATGATGATGATGACGATTTTATGCTTTTCTTTCTGTTCATTTTCAGGGTGCCAAATAATTTTGACTAAGGATTTAGAAGGACTTGTAGTGACTCTACCAAAAGCAACAAGGAATTTTTATGTTGATGGACATGTACCACAGCCTCACTGATGCCTTTGTTTTTTATGAGCATGTACCTGTACTTAATGATCAAAGTTTAAATTGGCCAGATCTTTGTACCTCAGAGGGGTTTTGAGTACATTTAATTGAAAGAGATTAATATAGTGGTTATACGTCTGTGTATATGCATTTTGACAGTAATTTTGGACAAGTAATGTATATTATTAAGTAGGTGGATAGCTTGGTAGGCTGGGACCAGCCTCCTTGGAGGGGTAAAAGGGAAAAAAATGACGAGCGGAGTGGGTTGAGTAAGAGACAAAGAGAGGGAAAGTCTCAATTCTCTCAATCCCTCACTCCATATTTTTTTCTTCACCATGCATCCCCTCAAGATTTTTAACATGCCCTTTTCTCCCAAAAAAGACAACCTGTTAACAGGCTTATAGCTTGTGTACAGTACAATCACAACCCATAAACCTCTCTGTAACAACGATGCCGCAAATTAAAATGTTATGTTTAAAACGTAGCTTTAAATGAAGGTACTGCTGAAGAGGATCTGAATTGGTGATTTGAATGATGACATCTCTTGACTTCTACTACCAGAATCCTTCAGGGGTTTGCTTTAGTTATGCAAATTAAGGCTTTTGTTATTAAAACCTTACTGGGGTTCTCAAATTTAAACATGAATAAAGGAAAAACGAAATGAATTCTGGTAGTCGTAGCAAATGACACCATCGTGCAAATGGCCAATAGTTACACCATAGGATTTTGTCTGTGGACTCCAAAGTGAGAACTACTTGGCAGGTTTTCATATTTATTGGCCATGGAAGTGAAGGGATTTCAAATTCTCTTCTGGTTAGGTTAGTTTATGAAGATCCTTCTTTTGGCTGCTGCAGTGTTGATAGTTTGTCTTGGCAGATTTTTTTAAATGTACATACAATTTTGCTGACTTGTTTATCTACACCATCATGTGTAAACTTATTTGAAATTAAAAAAATATGAAAATCAAGTCAATGTAAATTTTGAATGTGTCACCCAGAAGGGATTCAGGATATAATATAACTGTGCAAATGTTTCCATATTACCAGGGTGCATGTATTTGAGATAAATGCCTATACACTCCAATTTTAAGGTGATAAGCAATACATAGCACTCTCTGATTCCTAGCCTGTTACAGCTTTCAAATAGTCGAGTCTGCAAGAAAGAGCAGACACAAAAATAAAATGGGAGGAAACTGGGAAGAAGAAGTGCACTGCTACTGCCCCTTTTCCCCAAATCATGCGCTCATATTTTTGCGTGCCTTTTGTAACCTCTAATGGTGTGAGGGGGGGGGGTTACTGCCATATATGGGCTATATAGGTATGTGCCGCTGTGAAGGGTATGGTTTTCAAGCAGTTTACTTTGGGATAGGGTATATAAATCAGAGAGTTTGGGTCTAGAAGAGGGTATCATTTTCCATTTAAACTGATCAATTGGCTGAAGATTTTAGTCTAGACTAGGGAAACTGGGAATTACCACTCAAGAATATAAAAAAGTCAAATCGGTGCTGTTTTGGCTGGACTGTGCTAGTGACCTCAGTTGTTTCTGGAAAACATCTACTCTAGGATAGGGGGAATTTGGGGAGTTTAGTCTAGAACAGGGTAGCAAAATTCAGCTGAAGTAGCTCTGGTGTAGGCTAAGGGTTCCAGTGTCCCAGCAGCACATCCCCACCCAAAAATTCCCAAAGTACCCCCCCCCCCCAATAAAATCAAATATAAAACTTTTTTTAACAGCATCCCAAAAAATATGTTGAATTTTGTTCATTTTGCGTTTCCTCTATTTCTGCCATGTTCTGTGTCATGATTATCATTCCATCCACTTCCCCTCCTTTCTGTTAATTTTTCGACACTGAGACCTGGGAACGAAAATATATAAATGGCCGTAAGGGAATGGGCACAGGACAAAAGCAAAATGGCGGTGGTGATGGAAGGTCCTCTCTCAAAATGGACAAATGTCGTGAAAGGATGGCAGTACCGGTGGTTTGTTTTAGACGACAATACGGGGCTTTTGTCCTACTACACGGTTAGTGTAATTTCTTTAAGAATTTTGATTAAGTTGGACAGAAATTGCAGGAAGAAGACGAATCTTTAAAATGTTCTCCCTTGAAATTGTTCTCGACTTTTCTAAAATGTTTCGTCCATCAAGCGAAACCATGCAATGCAAGAGTCATATTAGAGAGTATAATCGCTTTAACCGTTAAATTTAGGGAACAATATTGTTGTGTGCTTTCAATGCTACACAAATGAAGAACAATATTTTAACATATTTCTGATTTTTTATTATAATAAATAGTTCATGTCATCACTTGTTTTTAAGTCACCTGATCTTAGCTTAGTCACGACCCGGCAAACAGCACACCAAAAATATGCGGTGTTGCTGTACAGCTTTCATTAGTTACATTTATAAAGGAAAAGGGCATAAAAGTTTTTTGGCACTGAACATGAATATATCAATAAATTTATTTTAGACATGAAGTTTTGAACTCAAAACATTCTGAACCTCTAAAAACCCATTAGAATTCATTTCTAAATCCATGGTTTAAAGAAATAGTGCCCCGAAAACACTACACAACTGTATGGGTATGTCTTAGCATGGGAATTTGGTTTCCCCCTACTACCGTCCTGTTAACCATTTTTGTATTTTTTGTTCCATTGTATATGTTAGTATTAGTTCATTTGTATCAGTTATGTATGGTTACGAACTGTGATTAAAGATTAAAGATTAAAGATTAAAGATTAATATGAATTTGTACGTCTCAGAGGTGAAAGGTCGTGTGTTCGGTAGTGGACAAAACACCGACTCTCAGCCCATGGACCAGGGGCACCCAACCAGAATATAGTTCAAAACTACTTAAACATAACATAGTTAAACATATTTTAGTATTTAAATAGTAGATATAGACATATTGTTATCCCCTAAAAATTGTTCATCTGGTCGGATTTCCTAGCTGAAAGTCTAGTGATCCGAAAATCATAGGGATCAAAACTTACCTTTTCGAAAATTTCAGCCAGAAAAAAGGCTCCTGAAAATTCCAGGTGATCTTTTTAGGGTAAAAATCCGTTGAAAATGGGCAATTATACCATTTTTTAGGTGTTCGAAAATCCTAGGAGAGGCAGGCAAGCAAGAAATTTTACAACAAGTGTTCCGAAAATTCTAGATCTCAAATTGTCTTCCGAGCAGATATTTTCCAAAAATTGACATTGGGTGCCCCTGATGGACTACTGCCATGGACTACCTATATGGACTATGCTGCTGAAGTTAATTGATTTTTAGGAAATTGAGTGAATCAGTTTCTATTTGGGGTCATTATACTGGGGAAACTGACCTGAAACTTGATTCACTCAGTTTGCTAACCCTTATTACTTACTTTTAGCAGCATAGTCTATTTTAGAGTAGTCCATGGGAGTAGTCCATGGACTGGGGGTCTGTGTTTTATGAGTCATACCTCACAAAACAAGATTTTAGTCACTTTTAGAGGTGTTTTTGAAAATTTGCAGTGAGTAAAGTCTCCATGATTTTTATGGGGTGATTAAGTTGGCGAGACCAACCTTGGATTTACGATAATTATTGTTTGAACAAGAAGGTCTTGGTTTGTATTTTTATACTTGGAATTTTTAGTCCTAATTAGTTCCTTTTCATAAATTTTGCAGTCCAAGGACAAAATGATGAGAGGTACAAGAAGAGGATGCCTGCGCCTAAAAGTATGTAAATTTTAACAAGTCAGAGTACTTTTTGATAACATTATTAACCCATTCACACTTGGAGATTTTGCAAAAAGACTTGCAGCTAGTTGAGCCCTTTCCTGGTCACCATTTGGCCAAAAAGAGCCAGACATTCTGAAATTTCTTTTGAATTGTCTACTTGCATAAGGTTTAGGTTTCTTACTCACAGAGCTTTTACCTTGTAATGTGAAAGCTTACAGTAATCAATCACAGCAGCTGAAAAAAAAAAAGTAGCTTTCATCTGAATGGTCGCCTGTATATTTATCTCCTGTATATTTATAGGCCTTCACAATGCACCTCCAGTCCTCTGTCTCTGTCAGAGAGGGTAACAAATGAAAACCCCAAAACTTTATGTAGTGTCACAACACTTACCTAGTGAAAGAACTTTAGGAGGTCTCTTTTTTATGTCAGTTCTCACACAGAGGTGGTGGTGGTGGGGAGGGGGCAAGGCCCTCTGTTCTCTCCCCTCCCTCCTGTATGGTCCCTGTTTTTTACTTAAATATTTATTTTAGGGAGCAAACATTGGTATTGATGATGAAGATGATAGCACTTTTACCATCAACTGTGATCAAAAAACATTTCACTTTCAAGGTATGTTTACTGATAGCGGTGTAAGGTTATGTATGATATGAACTGTGGAAATGAAAATTATATTCAGATTACAGCAGTTGTGCAATGCCATGCAATCTCATTGCTGAAATTGATCAATCTTATTTTTCTTTTAACATAGTATTTAGTTAGGGCACGTGGACTATCTTCAGCTTCTTAACCTATTTGCTCCTGGGAATTTTCCCGAAAATCAGGTTTTTAAGCTACAGTCTCAGACAAAAGTAGTCGGGACACTTCCACCCAACACTGTTTTTTTACTTCTGGCCCGTCTCCTCGCCCTCCCAATGTTATTTATCACAGTTAACTCACCAAATCTTGTGCACCAACTTTGGGAGGGCATGAAGACAGCAAAGTGTCCCATGTTCAATTTTGACTGAGACTGTAGTTGAGTCATTTTCAGGTCACTGTCTTGCTATAAAGAGCTAAAACATACCAAAAAACTGTTGACAGGTCATGCATTAGGCAAATTCTGATCCAGATGCAAAATATTAGTTTCCGAAATTCGGGCACGTGCAGAAAGCAAAATTTTGAGATAGCTGTTGGGGTTAACAGTGACACAGCAGACTTGACATTTTCTTTTGGTTTTCTCTCCTCTCCTCTTCTTTTGCTTTTCTTGTCTAATTTTTTTTTCTTTTGCTGGGCATGAAATAGGCTTCATTTAAGTTGTCGGGAAATTTTTAGGATCTTAGGATTAGATGGAAGAAAAGGTAGGTGGGTAGTGAAACCAGATTTTTCTGGGGAGTTTTCAGGTCAATGTGTTACATGTATTTTTTTTTTGCCTTTTACTCTGGCCTCCTTGACTGAATCATGCTCACTCTGGTATGGTTTGAAAGATCTCTTCACCCTGCGCAAGTTAGCTGACAAAGTTGTTCTTAAACATTAAAACTGATGACATCACAAGCTGTAGAAGGGACGTGTGATCCTCACAGGTGGTTACGGGCAGTTGAGGGGCAAATGGGTTAAATAACCAATCAGTTTCATACATATAGATCTTTCTTGATTCAGACAAATGGCAATTTTACTGCTGATGTTTACATAAACTTTATAGCATAATTATGTACATTTACCTAACTGATGTTGTTTTTTTTTGTCAGCTCGTGACTCAGAAGAAAGAGAACAATGGATCAGAGCATTGGAAGACACCATCAAAAGACATTCCCAATCAAGAAAGGTTCGGTGTAAATTAAGTTTTTGAAGCCAGTGTATCAACTTTAGAAATTTTTAGCCCTGATGTGCGAAAATACCAGTGCAGAAAACATAATATGAATTGAAAACATTTTTGAACTTTGGGATAAATGGGCTAAGTTCCAAAATCCAGGAGTTGGGTGACCTGTGCCAGAGACAGGGAGATTTTTATGCCAAATCCAGTAGACTCCTGGATAAGCTGGGAGAGTTGGCATATCTGCCATTACCCTTACAAAACTATTATTGCAAATTTTAAAATATGAATTGACAGACTGTGCATGATTTTGCCCCAATTTCTCAGACAACGAAAGTATAACAGGGCCTTCTATTTTTGCCCAGATTTTTAAAATATTTCCATGTCTAAAATTAAAATTCCATCTATTTCCAGGATTTCTGTGATCTTTATGAACCCTGTAGGTGAAATTTCTTTTGTCTGCATGCATGTAGTTTTGTTTACTTTTTTAATTAAGATCCATTTGTTTTGTGCTTGATTCAGCGACCAATGCCTGGCTTTCAGACAGTGTTTGACCCATCTCAAGAAAACTTGGAAATGCGTTTGGCAGAAGCTGAGGCATATCAAAAGATCCTTGAGCAGCAGATCAAGGTTGTATTTTTTATATACTTAGGATCATAGACAAAACCCTCTGACCTACAGTATTAATTTTGTAAACTTAAGAATCCATATTTGCATAGGCAAGGCATATTTAATTTGCATATGCGAGGTATTTGGGAATGAAGTGTATCCTTTGCACATTGGAATACCTCCTGGGAGCTTGGGAGCTTTCCTGTTTCATCCACTGGCATTCAGTTCTTTTTTAATCACACAATCATGGAGTTACCCTGGGCAGGCGGATAGGCAGACTAACGGACAGACAAACGGATGGACCGACGGATTAGATGGATGGGCTGGACAGACAGACTGAAGAGATGGACGGATGTTTTCTCTATCCAAAGGCTAGAAATTTCAGTCATTAAAAAGTCAACAAAAAGAAATTTAAAAACACAACTTATTGTTTACAATATATTTCTAAGATGTACAAGCAGATAGATGGACTGGACAAGTGGATAGTTTTTCTTTTCTACAATATAGCAAACTTGTGTTATACCCAACTGCTAGAATTTTCAGTTGCAAAAAAGTGAACATAAAGTAAAAATTTAAAAATCATATCTCAATGTTAACAATATATTTATAAGATGGACAGAAACAGGAATTATGGATGGTTGGATCGATGGATGGATGGACTGGACTCCTGGATGTTTTTTCTTTTTTCTTGTACAGCAAACTTGTGTTATACCCAAAGGCTAGAATATTCAGTGGCCAAAAAGTCAACATAAATTTAAAATTTAAAATCATATCTCAATGTTAACAATATATTTATAAGACAGACGGACCGAGGCACTGGATGGATAGATTCTTTTTTAAATATAGCAAACTTTTGTTATACCCAAGTGGCAAAAAAGTCAACATAAAGTAAAATTTACCATCAAATGTCAATTTTTACAATATATTTATAAGATGGACCGATGGGGGGAACCGGGCAGGGGGCAACCGGGGAACTGGGGCACCAGGGAAGCGGGGCAACAGGGAATGGGGAATGGAAGGTATGCGTAATTGAGGGTTGACACCTTATGTGGGTCTTAGAACAGCATGTCCAATTTTATAGAGGCTTGTGTATTACTTTATGTAAAGCTAACATACACAGTCCTCTACGACTGGTGTAGTTTTATTAAATTTTGACCCTGCTTGCCATAGAGCCTCCAGTAGCTCAGTTGTTAGAGTGTCCGAACTAACACTCAGAGGGTCATGAGTTCAGTTCTCACCTGGAGCTCAGAATTTTTTCTGAGCTTTCTGGTATTAGAATTCTCCTTCTTAATTTGATTTTAGATTTTAAACTCCCAAATGAATGCTGATGTTGGAGCTGAAGATTCAGAGGTATGTGAACGTGACATGATATTTTTGATCTTCCCTACACAGGGGCATACCAAGGGGGGTCCTGGGGTGCCAGTGAGATAACATAACATTTATGATACTCGGCATTCATGCCGCCTTTTTGCTAAAAGACATTTTGACTGATGAGCTGTGAGACTAAAATCGAGTAATTTATGTTGGAAATTAATTCATCTATGCAGCTATTTTTCAAGATTCAGAGGTATGTGAACACGACATGTTATTTTTGATCTTCCCTACACAGGGGCATACCAAGGGGGGTCCTGGGGTGCCAGTGAGATAACATAACATTTATGATACTCGGCATTCATGCCACCTCTTGCTAAAAGACATTTTGAATGATGAGCTGTGAGACTAAAATAGAGTAATTTATGTTGGAAATTAATTCATCTATGCAGCTATTTTTTAGGCTTGTCCCTCCCACCATGCTCACTGCTCATCTGAAAAAATGAAAATGTCACTTTTAG